TCAGGTCTGAAGACAAATAGGACGAACTCGCCAAATATTTCAAGTCTTATACTGATCGCTGGAGACTTAGCAATTTTCCATAAAAACTCGCGGCTCTTGCACAAAGAACAGTCTATTGTTTTTGAAGTCGCCAGATAGTCTTGTGATTGTTGCTCAGTCAATTTCGATTGCTGTGACCCTGTTCCCCCTAGGGTTTGACCCTTAAAATGAACTCATTACAAATATAATTAATGGGCTCCTGCCCTTCAGTACTAATGAACCTGGTACCTTAGTTAAACATTAACAATATAGCAAAGTTTGGAACATAATTTTTTTTTTATTTGGGGCAAATAGATTTATTTTAATCCCTCAAAGTAGTGAGAAATACATTAATATGACATCATAACTTCAGCGAGTGAACTCAACAATCAACTGATCAATTTTGTTGGGAAAAGCCTCCTATGCTGGTCTCAGTGAGGAGTTCAGATCAAATAAAGAGTTCTTACTCTTCTACACGGTCTTTACAGTAATCACCGGTTTAATATAATTACTCATTAAAATACCTTTTCTACAAGACAATTGTTAAACTGTCTGATACATTTTTCACCTAGATTCCTTTCAACTTTCCAAATGAATTTTACTTCAGAAAGGCGGGATGCCTATGCAAGTTAATTCCACGGCCACTTAATTTTTTTTGGGTCAAACAGAACCCGAGAGAAATGGAGAACCTGAGAGAAATGGCCAACAGTAGACAGCTTTGTTTGTTAATAATTACCTAGCGTCCTTGAACACAACAGCTGTCGTGGAAGGGAAAGGGAGCGATCTGCTTACACTAGCATGGCCAGCAATAAGAATTAGCTAAAATTCAGGGGAAACGGAATTATGGGAATTTTTTTTTCGGAATCAGTGCGAGGTCGACAGACCCGATTTTGGATTTGGGATCTGATTTGCCGGAAACTTACTCCCTCGGCCAAATCTCCGAACAACCACCTGTCAAATGAGGCCTTTTCGGCCTCTCTGAAGTTTGTCTCGTGGTATGCAATTTTTTTTTTCCGATGGAGAAACGGCGCAATCGAAATTTACCATCCATCACTGAAGGAAAATACTTTTTGTGACACCGATAAAAGCTTTTGTCTTTTAATAAGATTTTTAGCGTAAAAGCTGTGAGCTGAGCAGAAAGTATATAAGTTGTTGTATTTGAATAGAGCTGATGTACGTATGGATTTTTTGATTGATTGATTTATTCGTTAAATGGAAACCTTGTTTGACTTACTCGAGTTGTAAATTATACAGAGCTGATAATGTTGAATGTTCTGGATCGAAATGGCTCTGCCCTTTGAGGCCAAAAACGGTCCATTAAGAAGCCCTGCGGCCGATCATGCAAAATTGCACGATTACTTTGACCTTTTCGGAAATTCTCGGATTAAATCCGATCGCTCTGAAATTTCGGTTGTAGCATGTAAACATTCTAAGCCAATC